ACTTACACAACCTCGATTAATCGCCGTGAAGAATTCAAATTCGATGACGAGGAACCCACATTGAGACTAATAATGGCTTGAATGGGTAAGGAAGAAAAAAACACTTTAATATAACAGCAAATGTACAACGTTTCGACAAGGTTTTGTCATCATCAGGTACTATGACCTACTACAGGTCATCATCGGTAATACTCCCGATGTTTGCAATATTGTTGGTGATATAATACATTTAAGTAAAACAATGCAGCATTTCTGTCTGGTACTGAACTAAGAACCAGTGTAGTGATTCAGAAACATTTCAATTGAATATAGAATATCAACTTAATAGCTTACAAAGATACTTAGTTAAGTATTATTATAGGGTTGTTGTACACACGTTTCTGATAGGATGTGTTTTATAATTTACTTATTTTTTTCCCCAGCTCTTTGTTGTTCAAATTTGGTCGGACTGAGGACTTGTGGGGTTAAGAAGATTTCTGCTGTGTTTGTAAATATAAATAATGTGAATCTGTACTTTGAAAGAATTATTATCATACATACATATTTTTGTTTTAGTGTTTAAGATAATTGTAGACCTTCAAAATAATTTTGTTAATGAGAAGCAGGATTTTTATATAGATACTAATGTACAAATGGTATGTCATTGATAATTTCAGAAGTTATACTTAAGTTTGTTTAATAGGTAAATAATTATTTGTTACAGCATTCTATATTTGCATATTTTGGTGATTCGAGATAGTATTTTAAGGAAATTCAAGCATTTTTATGCCATTTGTATGTTCCCTTAGTACAGCATTGAAGCTCATTGTTAAAAAAAATTGATATTTTAGACATGGCTTTAAGAGAAGTCAGTATTATTGAGATTTAATGTTTTGAAAACAGTAACATTAAATATGTATATATATATAAAGTAGTTTTATATGGATATCATGAGTGCTAAAATCTGGGGTTCAATACCCCATGGTGGACACAGCAGACAGCTTAATGTGGCTTTGCTCTAAAACAAACAAAAAATACATTAGAAAATTTTAAAATGTTACATAGTAACTGGTAAGTTGAGAATTGGAAGATTATAACTAACCTCAGTATTCATTAATATGTTCTTTTACACCTTTATACTTTAACTATATCTTCCAGGCCTGTAACAGTAAAAGCTTTATAAGAAACTGACCCGTTTAAATGGCTTAATTCTTTATCTATAATCCAGGGAGAGTTCACTGAAAACTTCACTAAGTACTTTCAGAAAGTGGACCTTCTTCTTCTTTCACCTTCTAAAATGCTTAAATGTTTCTTGCTTTGTGGTTTACATGTTTTATCTTGAATGGTCACATAGTATTGGGAGTGAGCTGGAAGAGTATTTATCTGTAATTTTGTTGTATCTGATGAGAAAAACTGAATTTTGTGAAATACAACTTTTATGCATTTATGTGATGATAACACTACCTGAAAAACAAGCAAATGCATGTAAAACATACACATATTAATTTTTTTTAATGATTGTACTATATCCAAGATACAGTAAACAAATATATAATGCAGCTATATTTACATTTTCGAAACATTAAAATAGCTGTTACTGTAACTTCTATAAAGACAGAAAAAGCATTATTTCAAGCTGAGAAGTCAGTAGTAAATATGAGATGGATTCCTGGGCATACATGTATATAGAAAGCATTTTCATGTTCCATTCTGAAAACTTTATCATTTTGTTGTGTTATGAAACTAGAATAACATTTTAATAAAATGTTATAGAAGTTGTTCATAAAATCCTAAAAACCTGGGTGTCCATTTGAGTTTTATTTATATTAGAAACATTTTGTTGGTTTAATATTATACATTTGTCTTTACATATAGTTTCATTATAAGAAATTAAACTTGAGATATTTCTTTTTTTACCTGAAAAGAAGAATTAGAATAAAATTACTTTTTGTTTCCTATGCTTGTACAGACATACATAGCAGTTGGCTTTATTAGCATGTAATAAAAACTGTTTAATGGGAAAGAAATTTTTTGTGATTTTTATATAGTATGAACAATGACAGCTGTTACACAAAGATGCATATTTGTACATAATGTCATACAAATAAAATGGTTTTTAAATAAATAAATAATTAATTAAAAGGTAAGAGATACAAAATCATTTTATAATTTTAAATATTTTTCAAAACATTTGTACAGTTTTGAAATATGTAATACTTAAATAAACCATATAACCTGTTGCACCATGTACTGTTTCAGTATAATTTTTGGTTTAAAACTCCTGACTTAACCCAATAACTTATTTGAATAAGTATTTTTCAAACTTTTTGCATGTTGCTGAAATATGTTTCAAAGAAGACTATACTTCCTATTCTTAATACTTAATTAATTATAATTAAATAAAAATTGTTTAAAAAAAGTAGAAAACTTTGTTGTGTATTCCTGTAAGCCTAAGAGTAAACCTTGCATTAAGTGGGTTGTGGGAAAAGTTTTTAGATCCATTTGTATGTTTTTCTTACTCCAAACATCTATCTAGTAACTATGAGTCAAGATGGATTTCTGTGTTTAACTGACCTTACTGGATTGGTATGCAACCACATGGTCTCACTGAAAGGAAATCTTGCTTTACTAATCTGTTAACTTGTTTTTAGGGTGTTGCTTATCTAGGTGATAGAAAAGATGTAGATTTGGTGTACTCGTTGGTGGTTGAAGAAAAAGACTAGAAAATTGGATTTTAGGATGAATTTTCTTACTTGCGTTAAGTACTTGGCTTCTGCAGATGAGGAACTATTGGAGGGAAGGAAAACAAATGGGTCAGAGAAGGATGTGGATCATAAGGAGGTTATAGTTATAGGTGATTCCTTGACAAGGCATGTGGATAAAATAGTCTGTGGGGTAAATAGAGAGAAAATAATTGATTATGCTACCCAGAAGCACAGATGGAGGATATAACTAATAGAGCAGGAGATATAATAAAGGGGGTAAGCAGAGATGCAGTTTTTGTGGTGCATGTAGGGACTAATGATGTAGGGAAAGGTAGGTCAGAGGAGCTAATTAATAAGTACAAGGGGTTGATAAAAGCATTTAATAAAAAGGCCATAACTTAATTTTGTCAGGGATACTGCCCACAATTAACTGTGGGGATGAAGTTATAAGTAGATCACTAGAGCTAAATGCTAGGCTTAGGATAGTATGTAAGAATTAGCAGCTTGACTGGTGGGACTTGTGGGATCAGTTCAATGGAAGAAGGGAGCTTTTTGGAATGGATGGTTTACACTTAAATAAGGTAGGAGCTGGCTTGTTTGCTATGGCTATTAACTCAGCTGTAAGGGAAGTTTTCAGCTAGGACTAGACAGTGGTGAAAGCCAGGAAAAACTAAATACAAAAAGAATAAGAGGCAGAGAAAAGTTTAGCATAGGAAATGAGTATAGATGTAGTTATAAGGATAGGCTTAGTTGTTACTATTTTGTTTCTAGAAGTATAAGAAATAAAATAGATAACTTTAGAGTATTGGTAGGAATGGAGGATCTTGATATAATGGGAATAACGGAAACATGGTTAAATGTAGATGACTTTATGACAGAAATTTCTTTGAAATACAGGGTTACAGGCTATTTAATAGGGATACGGTACTAAAGAGGAGGGGGGATGGCTTTATATGTAAATTTTAGTTACATCTTGATGAAGTTGACAACATCAAATATTTTAGCAAGGAGATTGAATCAACTTGGGTTTCTATTAGTGTACATAGAGGGAAAAAGCTTTTAGTGGAAATTTGTTACAGACCACCAAATGAAACTGATGAAATTAGTGAAAAACTTTACAATGAGATTAAGATTTCAGCTGTTAATGAAGTCATAATTATGGGTGATTTTAGTTTCAGGCATATAGATTGGGAAATTCTAGAGTCAAACCATGAGGAAGAAAGGTTTCTGGAAACTGTTCAGGATGGCTTTCTTCACCAATTAGTCAAGAAACCTACTAGAAACAATGCTATTTTAGATTTATTGTTAACTTCAAATATAGAAATGATCGAGAGGTAGGAAACTGGAGAACATCTGGGTGCAAGCGATCATTGCTCTATTAGGTTCGATGTTTTGCTGCATATGGAGATAAGGAATAATGATATTTTGGTTACAAGTTTCAAAAAAGCAAATTTGAAGGGATGTGACAAGAATTATATATTGTGAATTGGGGAGCTGAGTTATTTGGAGACACTGATCAGATGTGGAAGATTTTTAAATATTCAAGGTAAACATATTCCTTATAGAAAAAAAAAAGGTAGCTGCAAATAAAAAACCAGGTTGGCTCACAAAGAGTTTAAGAGATAAAATTTAAAAAAAGTATCATAAGATTTGAAAATTTAAATTGATTGGTATGGCAGGAGATTTAGAAGCTCAAGAAAGTTGGTATAACAGGAAATTAGGACATCAAAAAAGGATGTATGAGAAAAGGTTGGCTGAAAATGTAAAAATTAATGGTAAGGTTTCTTTAAATACATTAAAGGTAAACAAAATGTTAGGATGGAGTTAGGACCCTTGAGGGATGATAAAGGAAGGTTAGTATCTATTGGTTACAAGATGGTTGGGCTATTAAATTTTGCTAATGAAGATTTAAGCATTATTCCACATCTTGAATAGTTGATAACTGGAAATGATATCGAACAAGATGACTGCAATAATTCTGAGCTGGTTAAGAGAAAATTGGGAAGTTTAAAGAATGATAAGGCTCCTGGGCCAGATAATATTTCCCCAATGGTTTTGAAAGAGGTTAAAGATTGGATATGTAAGCCACTTACTACTATATTTGTCAGTCCTTGAATAGTGGGCAGGTACCAGAAGATTAGAAGTTAACTAATGTAACTCCTCTTTTTCAAGGGGGGGTGATAAAAATTGTTCCAGTAATTATAGACCCATTAGTCTTACATCAGTTGTGGGAAAAGTTTTGGACAGTCTTTTAAAAGATGCTTTGCAAAGTCATTTAACAAAGTTTAGAATTTTATGGGATAATTAACATGATTTCACTAAGGGAAAATCTTGCCTTACAAATCTTTTAATATTATTTAAAAAGGTTATTCTTATGTAGATGAGGGTAATGGTGCAGATTTGGTGTATCTCAATTTTCAGAAAGCATTTGACAAGGTGGCACATAAAATTCTTATAAAAATAATTATCTCTACATGTGTGGGGGGATAAGTTAGCAAATTCGATAGAAGAGTGGCTGGATGGAAGAAAGCAGAAGGTTGTTAAAAATGAAGTTCAATCAAATTGGATTAATGTAACAAGTGGGGTTCCTCAGGGCTCAGTCTTAGGACCTTTGCTCTTTTTGATTTACAGAAATGAAAGAATGGACAATAAGTTACTTAAATTTGCAGATGATAATAAAGTCTTGGGTGTTGCTAGCTCTGAAGAGGATGCTGCTGATTTACAAAAGGATTTAGATCATTTAGTGAGTTGAGCAAATAAATGGCAAATGGGTTTTAATTATAACAAATACACAATAATGCATGTGTGTTATAATAATTTGAATTATAAGTAAAATTTGGATGGGTTTACTTTACAGGATGGAACAGCCAAAATGGACCTATAGGTCCCATGTTGTCCCAAGACATTATGTTATGAGATCATATAATTTCAGTAAATAATTTTGAAAAGCTTCTTTTATCAGACACTATATAATTTTACTCACAAAGTAAGACTAACTGGCCTATAACTTCCAGGGCAATCTTATAATCCCCTTTAATAATAGGAGTAACATAAGCAACTCTTCAATCCTCTTCAGGCACCTGCCCTCTTTACTGACCTACCAAAAATGAAAGAGAAATAGAAGCTAAATTTAAATACTGGACAAATACTTAGCAAATTACCTTCACTTATAGTAAGTACAAGGTAATACATTTGAGACAAATATTATATATATATATATATATGGGAACCAATTCTGTAGCATGACTGAAAAAAAAGTATCTGGTACAGAGGTGGTAAAGTTATTCAAGCCATTGAAACAGTGTTCTGATGCTAGTAGTAAAACTAATAGAAGTTTACGATGTATTTATAGACATATGGATTAACACGTCAAAAGAATTAATTTACTAAACATATACAAACAGTATAGACCTCACTTGGAATACTGTGTATAGTTTTGGTCTCTTAATAAAGAATACTGTATTATTGGCAAGGGTTAATGAGAATGATTATACTGATGGAAAGGCAACTGTAAGGAATAGTTTAAGATTTCTTACTTCTTTGTGAGAATTAAAAACTAACAATAAATTTAAAAAACAATCATTCATAAAACGTCATATTCTCTTAAATTATAATTTTTTTAAAATAAAGATCTCAACATAATGTATACCAACTTAATATGCTATCACACCTCTAACCATTTTCATGACTAATTTTACATCACAGAATGAAGTTTTAAGGGTTACTTTTTACCAATTCTGAGGTGTATTACAAAATGTTTGAAATTAATGTCTACTTCATTACAGCATAGCGTAAAATGTTATCTAACCTAAGTTCTGTTATACTCATTATAAAGGACAGTATGATTATGTGAAGATTTCTCTCTTAAATCATATTTATTGGGAAAAGCTTGTAGTTTTTGTTAATAATGCAACTTGAATTATTTGAGATTTTAATGAGTTCATTTAACCCCTTTTTTAAATAGCTAAGAACTGAGAAGATAAGAAGCTCATAAATTTGATTTTATCATTCCCAAATATAAAAATTATTGCTTATCAATATGTCTTTCTTGATTGGTGCCTTAGACTTGTAGTTAGATGGTCTTTACATCTTTCTGTCTCCTAATCCTTGTAATTAAGTGTTATTGTTTAAAAATCAAAAATTATTTTCCCACTATACATTCAAGTAGTATATATGATAAAAATTGATAGAATAATAAACATACACACACTAATTTCTTCCATATTTTATGTAATGAGAAACATAAGCATTTTAAATAACATCTAACTGGATTGTTACAACTTTTATTTCTAAGATTTACTCTTTTTTGTTATTGCAAAATTTCAATGTCTTCATTTTCACAGATGAAGGAATGGTAAATAAATTAATTAAATTTGCAGATGATAT